AGTGTCTGCAGTTCATGCATCTGCATCTGCAGATGCTCAGCTAAACTGGAGCAGTAGAGCAGGAAGATTTTGTCCACAGCAGAAGTTGCCAATGTTAAAGAAAACAAACCGTAGCCCTTTTTCTCTCCCAATAAGTGCTATATGGCTTGAAGAATCATCTAACTGTAAAATGGTTTGGGTTGGAAGGGAACTTTGAAGGTCATCTAATTCCAACCCTGCTATGGGCAGGAACACCTTCATGGATGGAGTCCCATCCAACCTGGCCTTGAATGTTTCCAGGGATGGATCCTAAACTTCTGTGTGCCAGTGTTTCACCACCTTCATGGTAAAAATCCTTTCCTTATATGTAGTCTAAATCTCTTTCAGTTTAAAACCATTACCACTTATCCTGTCACAACAGCCCTGCTAATAATTTTGTCTCCATTTTTCTTGTGAGCCCCCTTTAAGTGCTTTCAGAAGAGTTGTTACCAACTCCATTTAAAAGAAATCAAAAGCGTTGTCAGAGGTTTTTTAAATTTTTTAATCATAGGCTAAATTAGCATTTTCTCTTTTGTTGTGATTAAGTTATATAAATGTTTATTTGGAAATTGTTTTTAAAAATAATATAGACACTAGCAGTGCTTAAAATAGTGCTACCCATCACCCAAAATATGACAGCACTTGAAATCAAAGTTAGAATTAAATATAGCCAGTGACAAGTGCATTCAAAATGTTCTGACAGATGAGTAGAAGGAAATATGTTCATAAGATTAAGTAATTGCTTATACAGTTCATAATGACTGGAAATAGTCAAAAATAGCTAAATAAAGAGCAGGTTATTTGAGAAGATCTGCTAAAGATTTTTGAGAGGAAAACACATGCAAGTTCTTTATTATGGAAATGATAGTGATAAATTTGTAGTGACAGGAATTAATTGAAAGATGTTTACAGTATGGAAAGACCAAGCTTGATGTGTTTGAAACTGGCTTTTAAATCCAGAATTTCCTTCCTGTACTCTATACCACATGGAACAAGCAAGGATAGCAGCAGTAAAACTTCTTTTGGCAGGAGAGACTGTGGACAGAAAAGTTGGGTTTGTTGCTGGTTTTTCAGGTTTTTTATTGCTTTGATGGTTTATTTAAAGCTAAATTAGTGTTGCTAATAAGCTGCCATAATAAATTAATCTTTAAGCTGGTAATCTCAGGAATGATAAGGAATTTTGCTATGCTTTTCAAATTTCAAATATAACTTTTAAGGGCAGATCAGCCTGAAACATTCTAATTAATAGAAGTGGGCATCATTATAACAATAGAATACTCTGAGCTGGGTTTGGCAACAGCATTGTGGTAAAGAATTTGGCAGAGCATTATATTTTTTATTACCTGAAGTGATCAGTTATCTCATTTTTTGCTCCAATCCCAGTTCAGCTGAAGCCAATAAAAACCTTGACAGGACCAGAATCAAATGCTTCACAGGTCACATTTTCACGAGCTGGGGTAAGGGCACTTCCACGTGGTACTTTGGTTTTGCTGTCCTAATGAATTCACAGAAACCCCAACAACCCCCCAGCCTATAAATGCATAACTGATAGATCACATAGCAGGCTTTCTTATTGCAGCTGTAAGCAGGTTCAGTGATTTTTTTTTCAACTGACACAGCCAGAGATCACTTTTCTGACCCTTATTATTTGCCCTAATTAATAAACTGTCTTGTTTTATAAAAGGTTGCATGCTGTAATCTCCTGTGATGCTGAAAAGGCTGTTCAAGGCAATGGCTCACAGCACTTAGAGTGACACATTTAAAACAGAATATTGGGGTTTACCAGTGTTTTGTTTAGACAGTTCTGTTTTCAACTGTCACAGTAGATCTCTGTTAAATCACTTAAAATCCACTGTCTTTCCTAAAGGTCCTGGAAAGAAATGCCAAAATCAAAACACTGATAGTTTACACCTCTGTACAAGTTAGGTTAAATTGCTGCTGCTTTGCTCCTCAAAAATCTTCCTCCTCCTCTTCCTACTTAATCACAAAATGCTTTGGATTGGGAGGGAACTTAAAGATCATCCAGTTCCAGACATCCTGCCATGGGCAGGGACACCTTCCACAGGACCAGGTTGCTCCAAGCCCCATCCAACCTGGCCTGGAACATTTCCAGGGATCCAGGGGCAGCCACAGCTTCTCTGGGCAGCCTGTGCAGCACCACCCTCACAGTAAAGGATTTTTTCCCAATATCCAGTCCAACCCTGGCCTCTGTCAGGGTTATTTGCTGTTACAAGTACAAGTCATTTGCTGCTTTATGTATTCTAATAGCAACTCCATTTTCAAAGGAAGCTACATGTAAAATTTGCAAGTGTGACAAAAAAAATTCATTTTCATTTTAATCTAAATTCATAACTCCCCATAGTCTGTCTCTTGTTTATTTTCCCTCTGTTAACCCTGTTGAATCATGACTTCTAAAAAGAGACAAGATACAAGGGAAGAGTGGGCCAGGAGTCAGTGCATGAAGGAAGGAAAACAAACTCACCCAAACAAGTGCCGTTCAAAGCAAGTTTTTCTCTCTACAAGGAGAGGTAAGTTTATACTGTATTCAACTAAATTTTAAACTTTGCACCTTCTTTGCAGGATGTGTCTTCCAAATTACCATGGTATGTGCAACCAGTGTTTGAATGTCAGTCCCTGCACATTTTCAGGGTCTAAGGTGCAGACTCCTTGAGTAAATTTGAGTGTTTTACTCTACTGAAAGGGCAGTTTACTGCCCAAACCACTACACAACTGATGTTTAACAGTTACACCCTCATAAGTTTTTTGATTAATTATGAAGGATGAGATTTTGGCTTGTATTGCACCTAATCAGCTGCAAATAATTTGTAGGAACAGTAGAAAAATCAAATTTCCAGTGATTGAATGGGATTCTGTACAATTTTTGTAGTGTATTTAAAATCTGGCTTTGCCAGATGTCTGTAGTAACATTAAAGACTCTCTGGATGGATTTCACAAGCCCTGTGAAATCCCTTTCCTTTGCAGTGCTCCTGTCAGTTCCATTAGTTAATAATTTTTGAGTCCCAGGAAAAATCTAGGTAAAAGTGTCCTCTAGAGCTCAAAATTACATTAAAATTTTTAAAAATTGTTAGCTAAATGAAAGGGAAATATGGCAGAATGTTTTTGCAAGCTTATGATTGCATAGCTTCTCATAACCTTGTATTTTGATTATCAACAGTGACCTCACACAATTCATTTATTTTAGCCTCACAGAACTTCAAGAACTTCAAAATGCCCTCACAAGTAGGGCAAAAGTGAATTGAAACATCCCAGCATGGGGATTTCCCCATGTCTCAACAAAAAAAAAAGAAGCTGGAGAGAGATTTGTGACTCACCAAAAGCCAAACTGGATGGCAAAATTTTGTGAACAGGAAGACCAACGGCACTGCTACCAACTGCATTGTATTTGTTTTCCAAAGGGCAAGACTTCATTGTGCAGCACTGTCAGTGTACCCCCTTCACATTCCAAGATTTGAAGTGTTTCCATTGTTACAAAGACATTTACAGATTGAAAATCTCAGACCAATTTCCTGCATCTCGCTCAACAACACTGTAGCTTCTAGTATGTTAAAAACAATGAGATTCAGTGAAATATTACATATTCATTTCAACCCTCAAGCCAATAACTTACAATATCAAGTGGATTGTAGGCACCAAATTGAAAGAGAATTTGCTGTTGTCAGCACTAACTCAATGAAGGGGAAAAAAGAGGAGGGTTGTTTAATCTCAAAAAATTCTTTAATTGTTTGTGCCTTAACTGTACAGCCGCTGTCAAACAAGAGAACAGCCTGACATGTTTGCTGTGAGACCCTCTGCTCTGGCTCCTGTGCTGAGGAGGGGACACAAGTGGTGGCAGCAATTTGCTCAGCAGGACCCATGGGCTGCATAATGCTGGGGGTGGATATTTTAATAAGACGTAACATTAATGGTGGCTACAGCTGTAGGTACAGAAACTGTCTTGACACAGTGAACTAATAACTCCCACGAGCTCTTGACTCTTGATTTTTGATCTGATGTTTCATTCTACTTAAAAGTATAATTTTGTCATCCCTGTAGTGCAAGACATTAAAGTGCTTCTATGGGGTAGGATGGGCTTTGGTTTGAAAGTTAAATGTGTCTCTCTACATTTCAGCTTTTAAGCTATGAAAGAAACATTAGCTGTGAAACCTGGGTAGCTTTTTAAAAAGGGGCAAATCTCTGGCTTTTTGCTTAACATCCACTGGCCCACAGTATTCTATTTCCTCTCTTTGACCTGGTATTTACTGTTCAACATCAAAACAACTTGATGCAAGTGTACTTGGTCAGAATTGGTAGTGTGCCATGTAACGAATGCTTCTTTTTGATGCAAAATTATGATAATAAAAATAAAACAAAGTAAGTCATGTGACCAGCAATGTCTAAACCAAACCAGTGTAATCCACTAGCAGTACTATATATATATATATAAAATATAAATATATATAAATATATATATATATAAATATATATATATATTTGACAGGTCAAGTCACAAAATAATTTTCACACTCCAATCTATTACAAGAATGAATAGAAAATTCAACCTACAAAGAAGTGAATATGCCAAACAACAAAATAGACTTCTTACGGTGGTTTAAAATATTAAGTCACAAAAAATAGCTAATGTCAATACGAGCAATTAAAATACTCTTCTTTCTGAAGAAAAAGAAGATTAAACTATTAATGAAGCATCAATAGTTTGATGGGTTGGCTCATATGGAAGAGGGCAGCAGTACAAAATTTGCTCTTTATGCATTCTCTCCTCTTGGCACAGTGCCTTTGTGCAAAGAACAGTCCTGCAGCCTTTGTGTCTCTTTTCCCACATGGGAACTTCACTCCTTCCTCGTTGTCCAGAAGATCTTTCACATTTCTGTAAATCATCTTGCAATATGCAAGGTAGCACGCACTTTTTTCAAAAGCATGTTATGTTCCAGCGAGCCCCCCTCGGCCCAGCAGGAGGTTTGTGCCTAGGGGCCGGGGAGGGACATGGACTTTTGGAAGAACCGGGGATGCCTGGGGGGCCCAGGGTACGGGGGTGGGGGCACAGCATCAGAGGTCACTGCCTGCTCGTAGGTGGGCAGCCCTGACTCGTCAGCGCCGACGGGAACGGGGTTTAAGGAGAACTCCTCGTGCCTCCTGAAGATGTTGGCTGAATTCCGTCTCCTGCTCCTCACGTAACCCAAGTACCTAAACAAAGGTAACAGCAGGTAAGTGGAAAGTTCTGCTTTAAAGAGAAGCAAGGAGATGAAGTCTTAATGATAAAATAAACAAAACCCCAAACAACCCAAAAAACCCACACAAGAGAAGAACCATGCCTTCAGTGATCACAAGGACCAGAAGCCAAATACTCTCTCCAAACCACAAGTAAGAATAGCTCAGTGATGTGAAATTTATAGGGAAGAGAAAGCACAGAATCCTTTTATATTCCTTTCAAGATTAGGACAAAGGAGCACTCAGGAGTAGAGACCTGTAGAGATTCTCAGATCAGTCAAAGAGAATTCTCCCAGGCTTCAGGCCTGGGAAACTTAAAGAAGAAGAATGAAAACAATTATTATCTCTCTTTCTGTTCATATTGTTTATAGATATGTCCCTTCAGAGTGTACTATTCATAGTTCACCAACAGTGTGAGAAAGTTTTACTTTGAGACTAATCAAATTTCACCTTAGCAATCCTAGTTATAAAAAGATGCTACCTCTTAATAAAGTATTCTCTCTCTTTTTCACCTTCTGAACCATAGAATCATTTAATCCATCCCTGACCCAACAGCATCAGAGACTTGGTAAAAATGCATTTCCTCCAAACTTTTTCATCATCCACTACCACAACCACTTCACATCTGAGGTAGAGCACATGCCATGAGAGCATACAGCTTATTTGAAAGCACCAACAGAACATGTTAAACTTCCCATTGCAGGCCCCCACCTACTAAAATTATTCCATCATCTTAGTAAGAATATTTTGAAACCAAGAAGACACACACATGCAATAAAAAAAAAAAAAAAAAAAAGACAAGCCCAAAGGTTTGGGTGTGCAATATTGTTTTATGATTTTGTGTTATTAACTGCAGCATAACTACTGTTGGTGCTCATTTAACTTTGCTTCTAGGCAAGTAAGAACTAGAACTTCCACTGGATTTTCTGAGAGTACAACAGACCAACCCACAGTGATTTTTAAATGCCACTCTCAAGCGAGAGTTTGTATTGTGTGTGTTTGGGTTTGTTAAACAGTGAAATTCCTTACCCTGGTGGTTGCCTTGATTTGCATCTGCTCTTGCAGCAGTAGAAGATAATCAGAACAATTATAACCAACAGTACTCCAGCAGCAACCAGGCTGATGAGCAGTCCTGTGACATTGATCTTCTGTAGTGCCTCATCACCTGGAGAGAAAACATTGGTGATTTTCACTGTGCTCTTTCCATCTACCCAGCCTGCAGTGCACACTGTCAAATACTGCTTTTTTTGGGCTGCTCCTTCCACAAATGTCTAACGTGCTGTTAGAAGCTGTAAATCTGTGCAACACAACACAAGAGAATCATTCACAGTCAACTTAAAGCAAAAGGGAGTCGATGCCCCCTTTTCTCTACGTGAAACTGTTGAGATCCCTCCTTTCCAAAGCCTTCCAAATATTCCTTCATGTACTTGTGACCTTGATCAGGTCCAACTGACCTGATAAGGTCAGTTAAACTTTTTTATTTATTTGTTATTTTTTTTTAATTAAACATCTGGCATCAGAGTACTCTGAGCCTAAATCAGACTGTTATATATTAGTATTAAAGAAAACAAAACCAAACCACAGCCACAAAATTACTGCACAGTTTACCAATTGTGTAATAAAGAAGTGGTCAAGGAAATCATTGTCTTTACCTACAGACCTATAATGGATCTCACTTTAAGATGCTTCAGTTTTATCATATCAGAAAATTAAATATATTTGTACAATTCACAGTGATCTTCAGTAAAAAGATAATTTCTGACTTCCTTAACTGAATGCATGATCTATTAAAAATGTACTACTATAACAACCAGAAAATATCACAATATAATAAAAAAATAAAAAGATTACTTACCTATTTTTATTTTAGGTCCTTTAGTTGAATAGTCTTTCCAAAAATCCATCTATAAAACACAGAAAATAATCAGATTTATAGGAGATACATAAGTTACAGGCCTATTGACTTATATTTAATAGGGTACCTTGGGCAGAATTTAACAGTGGCATAAACAGAAATAGCTCCTTCTGAGGGATTTGTATTTATTCATGCTATTTTTCTTCTACAACTTTGAATTAAAAATTCTCAGATCCCAGTTGGTAAAAGAAAAAAGTGTATTTAACCATCCAGTGTTACCTCATATTTCTGCCAGATTACAATAGAAGTTAGGGTATATTCTGACACCAAAAAAATGCTTACAATTATTTTTTTTTCAAATCCCTACAAAACAGTTTTTGAGGCAAAGTTAAATTCTTAATTGCATTAACAGTATTTCAACTCACATCAGCTAGAAAAAATAGTGGGATTCATTTAAGAGAAAAACTTTAATGTTTTATGACCATCAGGCATTAAATGTGTTGAGTTACAATTTTCACTTTTGCTACCAAGCAAAAGACTCCAGCAAGATTTCAATTTAGCAATTTGACCTTTTTCTTAGGAAACTGTCAGCAAGGGCAAGCTAATGCTTCCACCTTTAGAACAGAACAGGGGTGTGTGTATTCCTCACTCCTCCTGCAGAGCACACCTAGAATGACACAGAGATTCTTGCTGCTTGTGCAACAACCAGTCTGCAGACAATCCTCACATTCCTTTACTGAGCTGAAAGGTTTCTCACTGGTTATATATATATATATATATATATATATATATATATGTACATACTGGGTTTCTTCTCAGACACATCTAGATGGGGAGCTAGAATGTGGTGCTATAGGAATACTCAGCAATAGCTGAACTGCAGCTTTGCTCCACACTGGCCTCTTACAAAACACTTCTGAGCATGACACAAGGATGCGATCAGCCAATTAATATGTTAATAAGGAATAATGTGAAGCATTCCAACTGGATGCTGAGAAGTTACTAAAAAAATCCAGAAGTCTGATAATCTAGGAATAGCCACAAGTGGGACTTCTGAAGCTTCATTTCTGTTTGTTTGCAGAATTAAATCCACATCTAAAGTCTGTAAGACAATATTTGTGTATTAAGACAACATTCATATATGAATACATTATTCATATATTAAGACATTATTCAACATACTCAAGTGCATTCACTGTGTATCTAAAGCAAGAACCCCATGTAATTGGGATATCTGCTTTTAGAACAAAATAAGTAGTTGATTCTCAGAGCTGTGTCAGAGGAGTTACAGTATCTGTGTACAATAATTTATGTTACAATAATTTGTGTACAAAAAATACGGTTATTTAGCCCATAACCTCCCTCACTATATTAAATTCAATTTGAACTGCTACCGTTTTATCAGGGTCTTCAAAAATTTCTCTTGCTTCTTCGTAATTGCAGACTTCTTCATAGCATTCCCTTTCCAGGTTGTCAGCTGTGAATGCTTCAAAATCAAATCTGTTGTTCAGAAGATGTCGTCCAATGAATAAATTGGCCTCCCTTGCAGATGTGAACACTAATGAAAAAAAAAAAAAAATCAAGTTGATTTAAAACAAATTAGGAAGGCTAGATTTGGTATTTTTTAAAGAATGGTAAAGATTTTAAAGGAGAACATTGGGATCATTTCTTTCCCTGGCATCTCTCAGCTATGTACAAGGGAAAGAAATATCAAGGTCTCCTCCTAAAATGTCTTCTTCACTCCTATATTTTCTAATTATGTAACATGAAATAAATGTATTTGCATTTCTCATAAGCCATCTCAGCTATTCCTTATCGTGGCCAAGAGAATTTGATTGTCATGGGAATGTTAGTCAAGTTTTGGTGTGACCCCTGGTGGGAAGCGAGCATCAATTTTTACTGGAGCTCTTAAGAAAAAAGTAATTGTTACACAAAGCAGAATTCAGTCAGATCCAAAGTAAACAACACCCTGACCTCGTGGGGGAAGGAGACAAGGGTAGGGGAAGGAAAAAAACCAAATATACATTTATCAATACTCTGGTATCTGTGAGTACCAAATTTTATCACATCAGCAGACTCTTACTCATTCTGCAATTGTTCTCTTTTCACAATTGTGGCACCAAACATTATGTAAAGGTGCCTTATTGCCAAGTTCATTTGTTTTAAATTTGTCCATGATATGAATTTTACTGACAACGTGCATTTCTGAAGACTTCTGAAAAGAAGAGATTCTCTTCTTTTGTGTTCCATGAGGCCTCATGGAGTAAGTGGTGAGGTGAGATTCCAGAACAGTGAGTGAAATTATAGAAGGCTTTGGAATACAGGAATGTATTTCCTCACTAGGCATTTTCCATAGTCAAGTTTTAGCCTGCTCTTGCTCCAGTGTCTTATTAAAAAAAAAAAAAAAAAAAAAAAGTGAAAGCCTAATCTATGTCCTGAAATTCAGGCTCTTTGGTTGAGCAAAATGACTAGAGGATTATTTTTGCAAGTGTAATGCAGAAACAGCATTGTCACATACCAAGCAGGATGGCTGAAAAAGGAGATGAGACTCAGGATAAAGTTATTCAGCTACAAATTAGCTTTGTGTTCTTGTTAGCCTGTTTGGCAAGATTATCACATCGCTCTGGAATTTTCACCCTAAGAGTTACTGTTAAATCTTGCAGTGCTATCTCATAACACTTTCCTCTCTGAAAACTGAGAAAACTGCAGCATAACCTACATATTGATTGTTTGGCCTTTAATACAATAGTATATTTAAGGAATAGACAGTATATATTTCTATAATTTGCATACTGTTACACTGTGTACTGAAGTAGCTATACATGTGCACATGCATTTGTTTTTGTTATTCTAAAGCAATTGCAAGAAAATCCAAGCTTAAAATATTTATACTATACCTAAACAGTAACCAGAGAAAAGGCATTAACAAAAAAAACCAAAAAAAAAAAAAAAAACAAAACCAAAAAAACCCAAAAAAAAAAAAAAAAAAAAACCCAAAAAAACCAAAAAAAAAAAAAAAAACAAAACCAAAAAAACCCAAACAAACAAAAACCAAAGAAAACCAAACAAAAACCCAAACAAAATAACAGCAACAACAACAAAAAAAAACAACAAACCAAAAACTCCACCCCAAAACCAAAACCAAAACTCCCTCAAAGCCACAAGTGGAAAGGGAAAATAATTACATCAGGGGGGCAAAAAAAAAATCAATATTCTTGGTTTAGTGCAAATTACAAAAGTAACTTCAGTCTTTTGAAGCAGAGATCTTCAGTTTTGCTCAGTAGTGTTTCACTCTTTACCATGCAAGTAGTATTAGCTGTCCTTTGAATTAACTTGGAAAACTCATGCATTTTGTTTAAAATGGAATGCATAATCAAACTGCCTGGAGCCTAGAACCCTCAATTCAGGAAAACATGGCCCACTTTTTCTTTTCAAGGATTTGTATCCATTTATCTGCACTTTTTTCACTTTGTCATATATCTCCATCTCCAACTTACTTGCTACTTAGTGATTAAAACACTATTTGAAGAATGAAACAGATGGATTTGAATTGTGTCCTGAATGTGAGGGACCTGGATGCAGGTCTGCAGTCCTTGGTTTGATGAAATGATCCACGCAGTTTTAGGATGTCCAGCATTTAATTAAAAATGCAACCACACAACACTCTCAGTAAATCAGCTCTGCTGGTAAAAGATGTTCAGTAAATGCTGAAGGGGGACCTCTCAATGTAGGCACCCCATACCTTTGGCAACTGTTCTACTTGCTGAATTACTGGATTATTTATATACATAAAAAATTAAAAATATATATCCAATATTTTATTGATATTAATATTATTGATATTATAGTAGAATATTAATATTCTATTGATATTATTGGATATTAATTGGATAATTCTCTTTCCAACTCTGTCTTTAAAGGAGGAGTGGTCTGGGCCTACAGTGAGAAGAGAATTCTCACAGGAGCTCACAGGGAAGAGGCAGCCTAATGTTTTATGCCCAGAGCAAAATGGATTTTTAACAAATCGTCTCTCACAAACATTTTTCTGCTAGCCATGGTTTCTGCTCCACATACTGCCCTGAAGGAGCCTCCTGCTCCATGTGATGACTTTTAAAAACCTGTCTTAAGGTTTCAGCACTCCTTGTGCACTGAGAAGACTGGACAGCTGAGCCAGAAATTCCTTTTTGAAGCCCTTAAAATGCTAACCATGGAATGCCTTTGCTTCGTAGTGCTTGAGTCTCTCTGGGGAATTTATTCACTTTTATACGAGTTCCTCCCCACTTCTCTCCCTTCCTCAGGGAAGAACTGCAAAAGCAGTGTTATGTTTATCTTTCCAGGTGGTGTAAGGGAGCCTGGTATTGAGAGAAAATATGGATTTCAAAAACCAACCAAATAAACCCATTGAAATGCAAAGCAATTTCAGATATACAAATACAACTGTGAAGTGCTCAAATAGTAACAAAACAATACTGCCTTAACACAGGTTTCAAACTCTATGAATTTTGGTTACTTAAAGGATTTTGGTTGTATCAACCACAATAACCCCAGAGAGCTGGAAAAACTTCAGTTGTCCCAATCTGTGCTTACTGCAAGATCTGATAAATACTTTGATATTAACACCAAAGTCAATTATCAATAATTTCAGCAAGAGGTATTAAAATAATCTGAAATTAAGCATAAAACATCTTAATTTTTTCATAAAGTAGAAACAAACAAACAAACAAAAAAACCCTGAAAAAAATCCAAACAAAAACCAAAAAACACCAAACAACAAAACAACAAAAAACCCAAAACAACAACAACCACAACGATAACCAAACAACTAAAGAAGCCAGCAAAGCAAAGTCAGAAACAATTTTGGAAAACGCGAAGTCACGTTAAAACTGAGTTACCGTCTCTCCATTCCGGCTGCTTCAAGTGATTTAATCTCCCAGGGCAGTGAGGAAAGGCGAGCACCGTCACATGCAGCTGACACAGCACCACCCAAACCGCGAACATGGCCGGGATCTGTCAGACAGAAACCAACGTGAGTTAACCAGGGATGACAGCGCAATCCTCTGAAGTGCCAGCGATGAACCCGGAGTGCATCCTGCCCGTGAAGTCATCCCGCGCAAGCAGCTACACGCTCTCCGGGCCAGTGGGTCCCTGCAAGAGGCACCGAGCCCAACTGGTCCTGCCTGTCTCTTGCGGAGCTCTCGTTGTGCAACACCCGCACATGTCACCGCTCCGGCCGCCCCTGCTCTCCTCTCCCGGCCCAAGAGAGCGGTCGGTGGCGAATTGACGGGGAAAGAGCCCCGCAGGGTGCCCCAGGTGCGCTCCGAAACCGCAGAGCCTTTGCCGCCGAGGAGGTAACAAAACCCCCCCGACGGGAACAGGAACAAAGCCCGTTTTGTCAGAGGCATGAAACAAACCCGTAACTCTGCACGGAGTCACCCGACACGGGTAAAAACACCATGGCCAGGGACGTGCCACAGCCCCTCGGGGCCGGGCAGGGCGCTCTGCCAGCCCCGCGGCCGCAGCACCTGCACCGGGGAGCGCCCGGGACACAAGGAGCAGCTCTTCCCGCTGCCAGCGCTGCCCTACCTGTCCCAGAACGGGGCAGCCCCTCCCGGGCTGGGCGGCGGAAGCCGGGCGGATCAGGAGCTGGAACAGCCTTTCCCCGGGCTGTGCGGATCAGGAGCTGGGACAGCCTTTCCCTGGGCTGCGTGGGTCAGGAGCTGGGACAGCCTTTCCCTGGGCTGCGTGGATCAGGTGTGCGACAGCCTTTCCCTGGCTGTGTGGCGGGATTCCAGCGGATCGAGTGCTGGGACAGTCTTTCCCCGGGCTGTGCGGATCAGAAGCTGGGACAGCCTTTCGCTGGCTGTGCAGATCAGAAGCTGGGACAGCCTTTCCCGGGCTGTGCGGATCAGGTGTGGGACAGCCTTTCCCAGGCTGTGCGGATCAGGTGTGGGACAGCCCTTCCCTGGCTGTCGGGATCAGGTGTGGGACAGCCTCTTCCCGGCAGGGCGCGGCAGTCACGGGGCTGCAGCTGGACCGCCCCCGTCGCGCTGCCCGAGCCCCGGCTGGGCCGCCCCGGGGCGGGGCAGGAACGCCCCTGGAGCGTGGGCAAACAGGGGTCATGGGGAGCGCTGGGGCCGCTGGAGGGTTTTCCCTCGGGCACTACACTGGGCTTTGTTTCCAGACACCTGCCTGACCTCCCAGCCTCCGCCCGGACCTCGGTGCGGAGTGAGCAGCAGGTCCTCTCTGCTCCTGCAGACCCCTTCTCGTGCTTAGCCCGGCTTTTTGCGCGCTGGGTGACCGGTGGTGCTGAGAGGCTGGCGGGGGTTCCGCTCCCCGGAGGAAAGCGCGGGGTGCCCGGCTGGCACAGCGGCCAGCCGGAGCGGGAGCAGGGTGTGCCTCCCCCGCCGGGCGGGGCAGCGAGCTGCTGCTGCTCCGGGGCTAAGCAAGCTTTTACCCATCAGCAAGCTTTTAGATGTCAGAGAGCCTTGTCTCCACCAAGCTCTCCGAGCCAGGCAGCTGGAAGGACCAACAGTAATTTTACATATGCGAAAACAATGTGTTTGTTCTTTTTTTTCTTTTTTTTTTTCTTTTTTTTTTTTTTTGGTTTGGTTTTGGTTTGTTGGTGCTTTTTATTGTTTGGGGGTTTTTTGTTTGTTTGTTTTGGGTCAGTGCCGGTAAACCTTAACCTCACAGGCTAGAAAGGGGCAGAAGTGGTTTCCTGAAACGCATGAGGCTGGTTTGCACACCTATTCAGGAACTCCCATCGCTCTCCTTCCCAGAGCAGAGGCCAGGCTGAGCACGTGGATCTGTGGCTCTTTTGGCTTCTCCAAAGGACGAGATAGAAGCAATAAAATGCTTCATATTTGCTGTAAGGATTTGTTTAATACTGCGTGCTGTGAACATGAACTATGTGAAAAATTTTGGGATAGGCTGGGTTGGGTTACAAGCTGCACACCAAGGAAACTCTGGGGATACATGAGTGTTATGATTTTGCTACGAGGAAATCCAGGCGCTGACAGTGATTTGTGTCTGTGCTTGTGTGTGTCCAGTAGTGACTTTGGATTGCATTCTTTATTTAAGTGCTGGAGTGACTTGTATATACAGAAGCAGGAAAGAGCAGAATGAGGGGTATTGGATAACACTGGTGGAAGTGGTCAGAAACTCCCTGGAGAAAACCAGAACTTTCTGATGTGTGAAATAAGGAGAACTGTTTGGAGGAATGATGACTGTAGTTAAATATTTACTTTATGACATCAACACGCTGCCGTTTAGAGCTACTTGAGGAACAAGTAACTTACAAGCTGGGATGACTCCAATGCTTTTTAGCTGGTGGAGATCCCAACAGAACATTCTGTGTTCTGATTGTGTGTGTGCTCATAACATAGCGGAGAACTAAGATAAGAATATTTTAGAAGAAAACAGTATAGATTGTTTATTATCTAGGTAATACTAAAGAGATAAGAATACTTGGCTGCTACTGGTTGGAAGGCAGGAGAAATTACCATTGCTTTGTAAAGGGCCTTACAGCTTTGTCCCATGCCCCTCTGCTCAACCCTCACCCTGAGTTCCTATCTGAGTGTCTCAGAGAGGGTGGTGCCAGCTGTGAAATATCTGCTGACAGCTCCAGAGCAAGGGCATGAATGTACAGGGGCTCTGTGGTGTATTCAAGTGTAAGTAAAACACCCGAGTGCCAATGTGGGAACTTCTTTTGTGTCGTAACAGCAGCTTTGTGTGAGGAAACTCTGCTGTACAAGTAGCAGGTAATTTCCATTGTGTTATGCTAGCATTGTCTGTCACTGTTAATAGAGGGGGAAAAAGACTTTTGGAATTGCTCATGTATGGCTTCCGGGGAGTGGATGTGAATCCATCCCCCGACCTTGCCCGTATCAGAGGAGAAGGCTCCAGGTGTGGACTGAGACTGAGGCATCAGCCCCAGATAGACTCTGCTGGCTCTCAGCCCTGCTCTGAAGGTGGAGGAACAATGCAGCAGCAGGACTCTGCTGGGAGAGGCCCTCAGAGCTTTACCACTCACCAGTGGCTATAGTAAAATCAGGGTGCCCCCGACACAGGGAATGGTTGGCATCTGACTCCATTGATTCAGAAGGCTGAACAGCTGCTTTATTACACTATATTACATCACATTACACTATACTGTATTAAAGAGATACCATACTAAATTGCATACTAAAGAAAACTCTTGACTGTCTCCCAACAGTCAGGTCACAGCTTCGAGTGATTGGTTATTTAATATTAACAACCATCACCAGAATCCCATTACCAGATCCCTTCAGGTAAGCAATCTTCCTAACACATTCCACATGTGCAAAAACAACAGGAGCAGAGAACAGAGATAAGAATTGTTTTCTCTTCCTCTGAGGTTCCTCACTGGGATTCCCAGGAAATATCCTTGGGGAATTGTGCCTGCCTGCTCCCTATGAAGAGAGCTGCAGCTACAAGTGGTTACCCAAATGCTTCTGACTGTGCAGCTTTTAGCAAAATATTGGTGTCTTCTGTCTGTGTGTGCACGGGTGCTTGTGCAGGTGTGGTGGAGGTTTTTCAAAACCAGCGTAGTTTGCTTATTATTGAGATGTAACTAGAAAATATGAAGTTGTTATACATTGGGAAAACAGGACAGTGCAGTCTTTTGCTTTGGAGGAGATTGGAATTTTCTCCTGTGAGTCCCTCTGAGCTCAGACTGAGCTTCCAGCTCTGTGATTTTGGGGACTGGCAGTGAATCCTCACTCAGGGTGGCTGTGCAGGTAAATGGATGTGTGAAGAATTATGCAGTAGGTAACAACTAGAAGTGTGCCTGAGTTCTGGTTTGTTGTGAGATCACAGAAAAGGTTATGACAAGTAAAAAAAGGGTGCAGCAAGTGCTGAGGTTAAATAGGCTACTTCCCAAGTATGTACAGTTTTTAGCATGGCAGAGCAGTAAGTACCTTTTGCACGTAACTTTGCTACTTGTGAAGTATTTTTTCAGGTAAAACAGCTTTGATTAGCAAGCATCATGAAGATGCTCAGAAGGATGGAACCATCAATTAAGATATTACGTTCATCAACCTTTCCAGATAAATACCAGCATACAGTATAGTAGATAAATAATTAAAAATATTTGGAGAGGTGAAAAATAGGAAATAGGAAAATAGAATTAAATTAATAATTATATTGCTTGCTTTTAACGTTGGGTGAATATATAATTCCTGTTTCTAAAAATACCTTTAAATTATTTGCCATACCAGCTACTACACTTATTTACCTGTATTTTAGAACTTCACTTTTTGCTGTGATGTTTGGCAAAATATTGTTGGAGAAATTAAATATGGTGCTGTTGAATTGAACCAGGACTGTGTATCCCTCACAAAAGGAAGATGGTAACAATCTATGTTTATGCATTGATCATTTGATTTTGAATATACTGATTATTTTGCTAGAAATAAATAGTAGAGTGTTCATTTTTACTATTCAGGTATTCATTTCAGTTTAGCAAAGAATAATATGCTTTACTGATTTTTGATTAGGAGGACTTTGGATGTAAATATATCCTACCATAATTCAAGTAATAAATTTCTAAATGTTCGGTTCTCATGCAGTATTTATCATTTGATCTGATAATGAAATTACATAAATATATAATTGAGGATTACAAATCATCTCAGCAAGGGTATGTGGAGGTGTGTGTATCCGGTCTGTTCTTTGCAATGGTTTATTTGGTATCCTGAATCATATGGTATAGATTTGTCCTTTACACAAAACTATTTTAAGGTCTTATGTTTGTTAACTAAATTTTTGTCCAGGAAGCTTGATTCCAGAGTAATGTTTTTGGGTTTTTTTTTGCTAGAAGTAATTGAATGTGACAGATTTTAATTACTGATTTTCTATAGTTAACATCAAAGGGCTTTGACTGTCATATTCAGCAATAAACATGTCAACAAGCAAGTGAACCATATCAGTATCTTGGAGAAATCTGGTACCCCATTCCAAACAGTACAGGGAGGAGGGAATGGTTTTTCTAGATTAGG